TGAGCGTTTAGTATCGGGGCATTTTTACAAGTACCTGTACATTCGTGAAAATGCCCAGTATCGCCACCGATACTGATACTGACATTCAATGCAGCCCTAGTTCTAAACTTTACACATTCTATCCAAAGCTAAAAAAAACAAAACCCTCCAGCCTATTTCTATATTTTTTCTATCTTCCAAAATAAATAAAAACTTATTAATATAAATAAAAAGTCACAAATAGACTGTGGTACTGAAATATGTCATATAGCAGGGAGAACTGGTAAGTGAGAATATGCCTGCTAAGTGGCCAGAAATTGTACTTTTATTCTGGACATTTTTACATCACCTCATATGCACCCATACTTGCCAATGTGACATGGACAAGGATGAGGATAAAAGTCCCTTTCACACGAGCGTTCAGGTTGTCAGGTTGAAAAACGGACAACAATGCATCCATCTCTATGGCAGTGCGGATTAAAACTGAAGTCCTTCAGTTTACATCAGGAAACATCAGTGTCAGTTGAGGTCTGCATTTTGAGACGGATCAACTCTCCATTTTAACTGAACGGCACTGATTTAACCTGATGTAAACTGACGATCAGTCTACATCAGTTCAGGTTACCTCCATTTTTTGGGGACTGATGTCATAATACAGCATGGCAAGCTCAATGCATGCTTGGGGAGGGAAAAGAATCATGGGAATTTACTATACTATAATAACAAAAAATATTGATGGAAACTGAACTGACAACGGATGTGCAAACTGATGTAAACTGTATCAGTTTTCATCATATTTTTTTGTATCTGTGAACCTTGACTGATCTGATGACACTCGTGTGAAAGGGGCCTAACAGCTGTGCTGTGAGTTCACTCATTGATTTACAAACAAAATACTGAAAGAACAGGCTCCCTCATAAAATTACATATAATTCAATAAACAATAAATAAAAGAGGTATTTATAGAAAAACAAGAGATCAAACCCAATTAATTGCTAAGGGCAACAACAAAACATTTTTGTTCCTGCTTTTGTTTCACATTTGAAAAAACAGGCCACCTTGAATCAAAAAACGAATCGCATCTATAAAAGGGGTAAAAGGCAATCACAGTGGATTTTAAATATTTTTTATTAATTGTATAACTTTGAATAACTTTATAACTTTGGCAACTGTCCAGCCAAAACTTTTCTATGATTTGGACAGAGTAGGGATTAGTTGGAAACTCTGTTACTTTTTTGCTGTATATGTCTGCGCTGGGAAGATTTATCTTCTCTACTGGTACAGAAAAGTGTAGAAAAAGCAAAATCATGCACAGTGAAATATAGGATCAATAGTTGAATAAGGTTATAGTGTATTGCATATATTGCTTCTCATTTATATACATGTATGAAAACCACCATTTGCAATACAAGTCATAAACAGAAGCGCTGTATTTATAAAGCATGACTGATCTAGGAAACTCATCGAGGGGAATTGATCAAAACTGGAGCAGATAAAATCTGGAGCAGTTGCCCATGGCAACCAATTAGCTTCTCTCTTCAGTTTGTTCAGGTAAGATTTGAAAATGAAAGAGAGATGCTGATTGGTTGCTATGCACAGCTGCTCCAGTTTTGATAAATCCCCCCCATAGTCCATAAAGAAAGAGTCGTCCTGGCCAGTATAGTACATGTGTATCCAGTAATCAGCACTGTATTCACAATACAACCCCCTGAAATTCAATCTCTGGCCAAGCTGCTTTATGATTCCATTCATACTGATATGCTAAAGCTTCTAAAGTGCCTTAAGAGGAACTCTAGTTCAAATGTTAACTCCTGCAGTGGAGCTACCCCCACACTGCAAGGGTTAACTGTTCGTTTTGGTCTAGGAGCGTAAATAAAGAAAATGTACTCACCTGCTCCTCAGTCCCATCTGGCTACTAGACCGGTCCCCACAGCCTCTTCTCCCCCGGGCTCCAGTGGTCTAAGCCTAGCTGATGTCATCACATCTAATGCAGGTCCATTCACTTGCTTTAGAGGTGAGGACACTGAACATACCACAACGGAGGGGGAGCAAGGAGAGTGGTCACCGCTGCAGGATCGAGGATCAGGTGAGTGTATACCGCGAGCTGTAGTTCGCGGTATACTGAGACGCCGCAGCGGATCCCGACAATTGTGCTGGGATCCGCCCAGCTGTGGCAGAGCCAGCTGTACCTGCCCCCTCCCGCGTCAGATCCACCAGTCAGCGCTGGCGGATCGGAGCGGGGAGGGGGGGAATCCAGCCCCTCCACTGTCACGGCAGAGAGCCGTGACAGGATCGAGAGGTGAGGGAACCCGGTATGTGTTCGCTCACCTCCCGATCTACTGAGCCAACCTGTGACAGTCTCATTGTCACAGGTCGGCTAGAACTATGAGGTGAGTGAAAAGCACTTACCTCATCGTTCTCCTTAAAAGATTTCCAGACTTCCTCCTCAGTCCAGCGCCACCCCTTTGTGTATGACATCAGGCCGGCTGGGCTCATAGTACTCTGGTACTGAGCGCTGCTCACACGTCATTATGTGCGTGCTGTCCAGTTCAATTTCCAATTTCTGCCCCTTGCTGAGAAAGAAGAAATAACTCCTGTGACATCACTGGACCAGCTAGAAAAAGGTAAGTATAGGGCTTTTTTAAAACGAAAAACCTCCTGGGGGGATTCCTCGGGGTGGGGTGGGGACAGCGCTCAGACATGTACATTAAACTATTTACATATTCTTTACAAGCAGTAAAAGAGTTTTAAACAAAACAATCCCTAAACTCTCCATCTCCTTCACCCGCTTAATGTGAATTTATCTAATAAACCCAAAAATCACAACACAGACTCTAAAGTCGGATATCAGTTGTTCTCTAACAGCTTAGAAACATCTGCTGTGTGTTTAGAAGTATGAGAAGTCTGGCAGGCTGCTAAGATTTGAATGTCTGTAGTGTGAACTTTGAAAGGTTTGCTCGCAGGTCTGAATGAGGCAGATCTGGAACTACTAGTATAAATGATGTGGCATGTAGCTCCAATGATGGTGCCAGCAAAATTCCAAAAGTGATATCAAGAGGCAGCAGCATGGGACATGAAGGTGTTCTGCAAGTCCTGACACAAATGATGGGGCATTGTTCCTCCCACTGACACCAATGATGGGGCATTGTTCCTCCCACTGACACCAATGAAGGGGCATTGTTCCTCCCACTGACACCAATGATGGGGCATTGTTCCTCCCACTGACACCAATGATGGGGCATTGTTCCTCCCACTGACACCAATGATGGGGCATTGTTCCTCCCACTGACACCAATGATGGGGCATTGTTCCTCCCACTGACACAAATGATGGGGCATTGTTTCTCCCACTGACACAAATGAAGGGTAATTGTTCCTCCCACTGACACCAATGATGGGGCATTGTTTCTCCCAGTGACACCAATGATGGGGCATTGTTCCTCCCAGTGACACCAATGATGGGGCATTGTTCCTCCCACTGACACCAATGATGGGGCATTGTTCCTCCCACTGACACCAATGATGGGGCATTGTTCCTCCCACTGACACCAATGATGGGGCATTGCTCCGCCCACTGACACCAATGATGGGGCATTGTTCTTCCCACTGACCACCTATGTTAGGACCGCTATGTTACATACTTCTGACCTCCATGCCTTGTGCTGTAGTTGAACATAGGCCTGACTCCTGCAATCTATATGCTATGTTGTATGTTACATCATTCTGACCTCTGAACTTTGTACATTATGTACTTGTGACCCTGGCACTCTATGTATTATGACCCTTGCACCCTACCCAGATAGCAAGGATAACTTGCCACAAACTTGTGGCAGGGTTAAATTGTAATTCTTGTTAACTTGCTGCACACATTCCTGGCAAGTTGTAGACTTGCAGAACACTCGCAGCACAAGTTCTAGTTGACACTTTTTGAATTTGTAGCAAATTTGCTTGGCAAGTCTACAGCAAGAGTCCTGCAGGTCTTAGCAAGAGCTCTGCAAGTGTACAGCACTTTTGCCAAGCACGTTGATCTGGAGACTTGCTGTAATTGTGCAACAAAATTGTGAAGCTTGGCAAGTCTGCAATAATTTAGCAAGTCAGTTTTCAAAATTGCTTGCTATCTGGGTAAGCACTGTGAGAGGAATTCATCAAATCTGGAGCAGCTGTGCATTCCAACCAATCAGCTTCTCTCTTTAATTTTTAAACCTTAACTGAAGAAACTGAAGAGAGAAGCTGATTGGTTGCAATAGGCAACTGCTCCAAATTCTTCTGCTCCAGTGTTGATAAATTCCCCCCTATGTTGTTAGCTACATACACTGACCCTTGCACTACAATGTATGTTACATACTCTGGCCCTTATACCCCATACACTGTTGTATGTTACATACACTAACCCTCCGTACACTATGTTGTATGTTATATACACTAACCCTTACACCCTATGTTATACGTTACATACACTGACCCTTACACCCTACATGCTATGTTACATACACTGACCCTTACACTAGGTTGTATGTTACATACGTTGACCAAGTCCACAAAGCCTCAAACCTTCCCACTTCCAAACTTGGTAACCCCTGCCCACACCACCTAGTTCCTGTGCAATTTTCCCCCAGGCAAGGGCCAGCAGCACACAAAGAACTGCTCTCCCAGCTATGATATAGATAAATGCACAGAGCTCATGTCTCGCACATTTTTAGAGGTACACGTTGTCGGAAATAAATCAGCTACAGATGGTCAACAAGATGATTTATTATTCTAACTTCATTCCATCAATTTACACACAAGTGCTGGAAGCCGCTTGCTGATCCAGCAGCCCTTCCCCCTCAGAGGTCCTCTTCTCTCATAATCAGTGAGAGGACCGGGAGTGGTGACGTCACATGAGCGCGCAGCCTAATCACTGAATGAACCCGGCTAGACCATGGCGTCCTGACCAATGAGTGCGTACGTTTCATCGCACGGCGGGAGCGGCTGCGGGAGTCGTCCAATGGCAGCGGCGCACGCATGTCAGCTACAGGAAGTGCCGTGTATGAGGGAGCCTGGCAGGAAGAGAGACAGAGCATGCTCCGCTTCCTGCCTGGACCCGGCTGAGGCTCGTATGTGACCTGGTATGTTCTTCCATGGTGGGCTGAATGCGGGCTCTCCGTGCACACAGCACGTTTGGGCTCTGCAGGGAGAAGGACAGATCCCGGCACGCCTTCTCAAGGTGTTTTGTGAACTGGGGAGTGCTGGAAAGGATGAAAGCTGAAGTGTAATCTTCTCTTTGCCTTCCCTGGTTCCTCATCTACAGACCGATGACGATATTAGATGGCACATTAGCAACTCTATTACATACGTTAGATTGGACCCAATATGCCATTACTGGGTCTCTGTGCTTTTCTATGCACTGCAGGGACATCATGGCTGGTGGGAGGGGCCAGCAGGGTGCTGAATATAGCTTACTGAAAACATCATTGCACCCTGCCTCAGTAGTCCTCTTATACACCATACTGGAATTGTTCATATGGTTTAAAGGGTGCTGATGAGACTCCTGGCTGGTCATGGTGTATAACATGGACATGATGTTGTCAGCAGGCCAACACGCTTGTTACAGAGTGCAGAGCTCGTTATTGTACAATCACAAAGACAAATAACATTGCGGGACTGCGCAGGGACTCTTCAACAGGCATCAGGTGCCCAATGAAGGATCCTTGCACAGCCTGCGTACTCCTCCCCTCAGCCCTGATTTGTAAATGTTCGGTTTTGTAGTTTTTTGCGATTTCGCGAGCACATGCGATTTTAAGGCTTGACATGTTTGGTATCGACCTGACCCTGTCTTTTATATTTTACCAAACAATTTGGTAATCATTAGGGATGCACTGAAATTTTGGCCACCGAAATGCATCGGCCGAAAATGGCACTTTTGGCAAAATGCCATCTTTCAACCGAAATAGCGGCACATCCCTGCTTTCTCTCCTCCCCGCTGGGCGCTGCTCTGTATCCCGGCGGGGAGGAGAGAAACTGTCACAGAGGGCCGAGCGCTGCGGGAGGAGGGTGGTGTGTGGGTGGAGACAGCTGTGAGTGCTGTCACAGGAGGCTGAGCTCTCCTGCATCACCCCGCTCAGCCTCCTATGACATGAGAGTGGTGGTGTGGGGGCGGAGACAGCTGTCACAGGAGGCTGGGCTGGCGGTGTGGAGTCAGCTGTCAGGAGGGCGGCTGGTGGTGTGGGGGAGGAGTCAGCTGTCAGAGAAGACTGAGCTCTCTCAGCCTCCTGTGACAGCTGTCAGGATGGAGAACGGTACAAACACTCAGCAATCAGTGATCGCTGAGTGTTTGTAAATAATTGAGGACATGGTATGGTTACTATATCCTCAATTATAAATGAATGGGAAGTGATCTACATCACCTCCTCCTGTTCATTCATGATTGTAGTTATAGTAACCATACTCTGTCCTCATGTTATCAATGAACAGGAACACTCAGTATAGATGATTCCTGGTCATTGATAACGGGGGCTGCAGAATAAGAGACAGAGGACTCTGTGTTCTCAATCTCTTTTTCTATTTTAAAAGGGAAATATCAGGGGTCTATTTAGATCCCCAATATTTCCCCAAAGCCCCTAAAAGTTTAAATATTTTTATAAAATATAGAAAAAGAAAAGATTATAAAAAATTTTTTTTTTAAAAATGTAGGGCTGGTAATGATTAAAATTTTCGTGTTCGATTAATCGAAATTTTTTTTAATCGATTAACTTCGATTAATTATAACGCACATACAGATCAAACTACATTGGCCTATACACATACAGCAC